TTTTATGTTTTTAATATGTATTTATTTTTAAGAGAGAGAAAGTGCAAGTGGGGGAGGGGCAGAGAGGGAGGGAGACACAGAATCCAAAGCAGGCTCCAGGCTCCCAGCTGTCACCACAGGGCCCGATGTGGGGCTTGAACCCACAAGCCATGAGATCATGACCTGAGCCGAGGTCAGAGGCTTAACTGACTGAGCCACCCAGGCGCCCCTGTTTTTTTTTAATTTTCAATTTTTATTTATTTGTTTTTAAAGATTTGTTTAAGTAATCTCTACACTGAATGTGGGGCTTGAACTCATGACCCTGAGATCAAGAGTCACATGCTCTTCCAACTGAGCCAATCAGGTGCCCTGTGATTGACATTTTTAAATGAACTGTTCAATTATTTGAACTCTGGATTAGGCAGGCATAGCCAAAGGAAGAGTTGATAATTCCCTTCTCATTATTCCAGAGATTAAGGTTGACTTTCTCTTTTTCCAGATTCTGAAATCTTTTTTAATCAGACTAAGTGATTTCACTGTCTATGGATATGTGTGTGTGTTTGCTTTCATTGAACCCACAGTAACCAAAGTATCTGTGGAGGATGATGGGTTGGTGCTGAATGTTGATGGAATAGGTGATCAAGAAGTCATCAAACCTGAAAATGGAGATCATCAAGATAGTACCCTCAAAGAGGATGTTCCAGAACACGGAAAGGATGCTGTCACGGAAGTTAAAGCAGAGCAGACTAACGAACCATGTACCAGCTCTAGTTCTGAGTCTGATCCCCAGGTAACATATGAAGTATAAGCCATCAAAGAACTAAAGCTTAAGCAAAATTACTTCTGTAAGCTCTGTAGCTTTGGATCTCAATTGTACCTTTTGCCCAAAGAAATTCCTTTGTACAGTCTAAACTGTCGGAGTGTAAAAAACATACTTCAAAACTTAATTTTATTTCAGACCGCACTTAAGAATCAACATCTCAACACAGAATCACAGTCTGGCTGCAGACTTCAGGATCTTAATGCTAAGCAGTTGATAAAGAAAGACATTGCCACCTATTGGCCCCTGAACTGGCGTAGCAAGTTATGTACCTGCAAAGACTGTATGGTGAGTGACTGATCAAGGTCAATGTCACTGTGTTTTACGGACTGATGCCTAGAATAAGACTTTCTGAAAAATATATTTATGAAATTGATGTTAGCTCTGTAGAGAACTTTAAAATGTTTCATATTAAGCAAATTTATGAAATGCTCTTTGCAGTCTGAATGCTTGTGGGAGAAATTAAGAATCATGCAGTACTTTTTATTATCTTCATTTTAGTGGAAAACATAAATTTTTATCTTTTTCATATCATAGAATTTGCTTGGGAATAAAAATTACTTGAAAGTTCCAGTAAATCAGTAGTTTTCATTTTTTAATTAAAAAACATTTTTTTTAAAGGTTTTTAAATAAAGATCTTTTAGACCATACAACACCTATGGGGAAGTTGGGAGATTCCTAAAAGAGATTTGGGCAAAAAGAATAAATCATTCAAGCAATTCTGTACTAAAAGTCTCAGGTTTTTCTGGCGATTAATGTAAAAAAAAAATTAAATAAATTTTTAGTGATTCTCAGCTCTTGAGAATTGACTTTCTGAGAATGATATACATATGTTCTAATGGGAAACTGGTTTTATTTTTTGAAGAAAATGTATGGCGAGCTAGATGTCCTGTTCCTGACAGATGAATACGACACAGTTCTGGCTTATGAAAACAAGGGCAAGGTTGACCAGGCAGCTGACAGGAGAGACCCTTTAATGGACACCCTTAACAGCATGGACAGAGTCCAGCAAGTGGAACTTATTTGTGGTAAATGCTGTTTGAACAAAAAGTCGTGAAGTTCATAAAGTTTCTTTCACTGTTAAAATATGTATAAGGAGGGCTACTAACACCTACGGTTCTAATTTAATACAAAAAAAGCTTAAAATTGGAATTATAGAATAGGCTTCAATTACGCTTATTATGCTTGCTGAATTGTAGCGTTGCTGGGTATTTAGCTGTGATTACCACTGAATCAGAGTTAGGTGCTAGAATAATTACGTGCTTGAGAAACCTTAACATGCTGTTTTGATTCAGGGTAGATGTATGAATATGGAATAATAGAAAATCAATTTCTTTGTCCATCGATTTAAATAGTTTTCATGGAGCATCACGCGTCCTCTTTTTGAGCGAAGCATGTTATCTTTTGGACGGTTCTTGAGGTTGCTTTAGTGGTTCACAGGAAACCACCAGAGGGGAAAATATCCCTGAGCCCTTAATTGCAGGCTTTTACATTTTTCCCCCCAGCATGCCCAACTGATTTTAGTAATTTCCACCCTGACTACTCAGATGCCACCACCTCTGTGGCATTGATTGTTTCTGTCTTTTTTTTTTTTTTTAACGTTTATTTTTTATTTTTGAGACGGAGAGAGACAGAGCACGAATGGGGGAGGGTCAGAGAGAGGGAGACACAGAATCTGAAACAGGCTCTAGGCTCCGAGCTGTCGGCACAGAGCCCGACGCGGGGCTCGAACTCACGGACCACGAGACCGTGACCTGAGCCGAAGTCGGCCGCTTAACCGACTGAGCCACCCAGGCGCCCCCTGTCTTTTATTTTTAACTATCTGATTAATTTCTTTTGCCTTTATTAGACTAAAAGCTTTTTGAGGATGGAGGCTGCATTTGAAGGATTTTTGTAGCCCTCAGGGTACCTCATACGTAATATGAACTGTTAAGTGAGTGAATCAGTTTTGAAGCTTATAAAGTTTGATGAGTCCAAGATTATTTCCATTACTAGAATTCCAGAGAGATAGGAAACCTCTTACAAAAATTCTTAGCTAATATTTTTGGAATGGCAATTTTTTTGAGTTCTGTTTGTTTATTTGTTTTAAGAAGTAGGGTCCCCAATATCAAAATGAAAGAACTTGTGAGAAATTGGAAGCAAGTTTCCATGCATGTTTCGCTTAGAGAAAATTTAAAGTATTAACCTACTCAACTATCAGTGGAAAAGATGCACTTTGTTTCTAAAAGCAAATGACTTGCCTAAAGTCTATGTACCTTTTTTGTTGTTTTGATTTAGAATACAACGACTTGAAGACTGAACTTAAAGACTATCTCAAGAGATTTGCTGATGAAGGCACGGTATGTATGTTGCATTACAGAATTTTAATCATAGCTCTGTATGTTTTGAATAAACTGTTTATTTTCTTGGATGAAAAAATGACCATATGTCTTAACCTGGATCCTTAAGAGGTGACTGTGGGCAGAGCGGAGGGGAATCAGGAGCAGGTGGTGAAACAAGGACCTGGCCTCACTGGGAGTCCTTCCAGCCCTGGGCTCGAGGGGGTGAGAGGTGGAGCAGCCACACAGGGTCTGCAGAGTGTGCTTGTGGCTGAGGGGAAGGCCAGGACATTGGCAGAGATCCTTGGAGGAGGAAGAACAAATGATCAGGCAGGGAAAAATTAATTCCAGGCCCCTTATTTTGGACTTTGGATTCTATAGTTTAGAATAAAAGAACTTCAGAATTTGAGACTAAAACATTTTTCTGGCTAGTAAGAGAGTCTATCTACTTTTAAGGGTGACACTGATTCTAAAATGTATAATATTTAAAATAGTCTTGGGGTGCCTGTGTGGCTCAGTCAGTTAAGCATCTGACTTCGGCTCAGGTCATGATCCCGCGGTTCATGGGTTTGAATCCCATGTCAGTCTCTGTGCTGACAGCTCAGAGCCTGGAGCCTGTTTCGGATTCTGTGTCTCCCTCTGTCTCTGCCCCTCCCCAGCTCACACTCTCTCTCTCAAAAAAAAAAGAGTAAACATTAAGAAAAAATTTTTTAAATAGTCTTCCAGATGAATTTATAAATACTTGCTCTTTACGATTCACATATTTGTGACAGAATTTTTTCATGAAATACTTTTCTGCCTTCCAAAGGCAGATATAAAACAAAATTTAACTTTTCTTGGTCTAAGGCTGTCCTTACGGACAGTTGATGCTTTGTTCTGCTATGTCCAGACAGAAATCAAGTTAGATGTGGGTGTGGTGGGTGCCAAGGAAGTATGCTGAGACTTTCTTTTTCTTTTTTTTTTCTTTTTTTCTTTTTCTCTTTCTTTCTTTTCCTTCCTTCTTCCCTCCC